AGTAACACGTAGCAAGCCATGAATAGAAGGAAGCTTCCTGAACTTGGTAACACTTCCAGCAAAACATAAGGTTTAGCTTATACAGAAAATCTTTTGGCTAATGTCAGATTTAATGGTAGATCATAAGAAACAGTCACTTTATAGAGAGGAATAAGATCACCTATGCCCCTAATCAACATTGTACAGAAGATCTTATAGCTAATACTATAAGACAAGAAAAATCAATGAGTGGTATAACAACTGGAAAGGATGACATTACACTAATGTTATTTGCAGGTGATTTGACTATCTGCTGAAAAATCCTAGACTAGTAAAAATAATAAGGGAATTCAGCAAAGAGACCAGTGAAGATCAGCATATGAAAATACTTCAAAAAAAAAAAAATAGTTCAAGGGGCTGGTTAGAGCATGGTGCTGATAACACCAAGGTAAAGGGTTTGGATTCTGGTACTGGCCAGCCAAAAAAAAAATTCAATTATCTTTCAATTCTATTTTTCCATGAACTTCTTGAAGTACCCTTGTATCTGTATCAACAACTTTCTTATATAATAGCAATACCAATTTAAAAGGGTCATGGAGTAAAACTCTCATTGATAACAGCGACAAGATCCATGACGCTCCCAGCAAGTCCTTAGGGGAGAGATTTTAAAGATTTTCTGAGAACATCGAATAAGACTTTACTAACTGCAGAAATATACTAAGTTCATATAGAGAGAGAGACTTAATATTATTTCTCCCCAACTTGGTAATTTTAATGCAATCTAATCAAAATTTAAAGATTTTTCATGGAATTTCATCCTTCATAGTGAAATGCGCATAATGAAATGCACTATTGCATACTGAAACACACAATGATAGCTGAGGTTATTTTTAAAAGAAAAAGGGTAAGATGCTATAAATCTGTAGTAATTATAACAATGAAATTGGTTCAAAACGGATATTTAGGCTAATAAAACATAACAGAAACTCAATAACAGAGTAGAGTTCCACGCAGACATGGGAATTTGTTATAAGATATGGATGGCATTTCAAAACTATGGGTAATGAATTATTCAAGAAGTGGTTTGAAAAATAAATGGTTGGGGGCTGGCTGGTTAGCTGAATTGGTTAGAGCAAGGTGCTGATAACACCAAGGTCAAGGGTTCAGATCCCCTGTAACAACACCGCATTCTAACCGGGCATATCTAATCATATCCCTCCCTTCATATCTAATCAGTTTCTCTCCCTTGGCCATCATCTCTCATCAGGACTAATCTATTTATCTCAACATTACTTATGTAGCCTTCCCCAATCTGCTCTTGTCCCCAGCCAAAGCCATTTCAACCTAGCTCCCAGAGCCATCAACTTCAAAATGTGAACTTACCCATGACCCCCATTTGCCTGTCACTCAGCATGTTTGTAGTTACTGCTTCAGCATCTGGATTTCCTAGTGTGACCAACAGTCCTGGTTTTCCCTGGGACTGAGGGGTTCCTGGGCTGCCAGCCTTGCAGTGTTCAAACTGGGAAAGTCCTAGGCAAATGCAGACATGTTTGTCACCCTATTCTCCTACTAGGCTGTCATTTCTTTTTTTTCTTTTTGGGGATCTGAGTCCTTGACCTTGTGTTATCAACACCATGCTCTAGTCAATTGAGCTAGCTGGCTAGCCATTAAAATAAAATAAACCAAGGTCCAGCCCGAGGCTCACTCGGGAGAGCGCGGTGCTGATAACACCAAGGCCACGGGTTCAGATCCTATATAGGGATGGCTGATTAGCTCACTTGGGAGAGCGTGGTGCTGACAACACCAAG